CACCTTTCCTCTCTCTAAAAGAAAAAAATAAAAATAGAAAAAGAAAGAAAGAAAGAAAGCTGGAGTGATTTCCTTAAGGCCACACACACAGAGCCAGGCAACAGAGTGGGTGTGGAGCATCAACCTCCCACCTCCACCCTTGCTGGCTACCTCACCCTCCAGTTTGCTCACATACCACTGCCTCCTTCTGCCTCCATCATCACGTCTCCTCTGCTGCCTCACAGAATCTAACCCTCCACAGGACTTCCGCCAGGGGTCCACAGTGAGACTTCCTTTTTCATACCACTGGTGTCCAAAAGGACCAGCCACTTTTGTGACCTCAGTAGGTGGCTAAGTTTGAAGACATCTAGGTCCAAGGACACAAACAAGCCTCTGGAGGAGGTGCCTCCAGGTTGCAGGCCCACCTGGCTCCTTCTGTCCATGTGTGCTGGTCTAGCTCCCCCCGGACAGAGGGCTATCCCAAAGGGCCAGGCCCCATCTTATATTCCCGGTGGGCCTTCCACATTAGGCACTAGGCTGCCTCAAGCCTCAATGACACCTGATGCCTGGCCCAGCACACCCAAGGGGGAAAGCCATCCTCTCAGTACCTGAGCACGAGGCAGACAGGGGGAGGAGGGCCTGACATCCCCCTTCTCCTCTGGATAGGGGCTCCTCACTATAGAGAGCCCCTCCCCAATAAAAAGGCCCAGATGGAACAACCACAGAAATATTCCTCCAGGGGCTTGACTCACAGTGAAAACTATACTCAGCTCTCATGGCTGGGAGGCACACACAAGACAATGTCTGCCCTTCCAGGTGCAGCACAATGACTAGCTCTGCTACTCTGTTTACATGATACTGTGGGCCTGAGTATGGGCATGTTACTATGCACTGCTCCATGACCACTAGCAATGGAACAGCACTGGTCTCCTCTAATCCCTGTTTTGACTGATGAGGATGCTGAAGTCCACAGTGCTGGCCAGGGTTAAAACCTGTTACAGCTTAATTAAAAGGAGGGTCACATCTGGACTCAGGTTAAAGTTCAGGCCCCTCTTTAAAGAACCTCAGGCAAAAGATGAGCTGGTTAAGAGCTTTGGTAAATACTCTAAGCACGGCACCCACAGTCTCTTCTCTCCTCTGTTTCTGGGCATCCACACACACGCCATAAGTTTTGATCTCATGAATCTACCTAAGACCCCACCACCACCTTCCTGAAGGGAAGGGATCAATGTTTCTTTTCATCCCCATCCCCAAGGGCCTCTGAAATCTGCCAACCTGAACTACATGTGACGAACAATCTTGTAAAATAGGCACCAAGCTGGAGAAGCTCACATGGACGGTTGAAAGGAGCAGAGCCCAAGGTGCCATCTGGCTGCAAAGCCCTGGGGCGCCACCCAGGTTATTTGGGCCCACCTGGCCTTTGTAGGCCCTATCTAGAAGGCCTCATGCAGTTCAAGAGGGGCCCAAGGTCTGCAATCCTGCTGGTTCACTAGGAGACAATAGCTTCCCCAGGCCATCCCTGAACACACATCTGAAATTGGGATGGGGTGACCCTCTGACCCTGGCTCTGGCCTCAGGCCACAGGCCGCCCTCTTTCTTGGAAGATGGGGAGGAGTGTGCAGGCCATCCCAGGCTGATCACTGCCAAGCAGAGCATTCCTGCTCTTTCACCTCTTACAGGGAAGTGAACACTACACTTCTGAAGGAGGAAACTCGAGAAAACCAGTCAATGAGGTTCTCCTACCGGAGCCAGGTAGCCAGCACCAGCACAAGGCCTACCTGCCCTGCTGATAGCAGGTAGCCACCTTCAGTCCATCTTGGAACTGGTGTCACAAAAGGAAAGTCCTGATGGGGTGGGGTGGCGGGGGGGGGGCGGTGGACAGGATTAGAACATGGGGCTTCCCCAATGTTCCCAAAGCCGACCTGCCAAGCCTCTTCCACCCAAGGGAAATAAGGTTACAAATACATGCCGGTATTCAGAATAGGGGACACTTGAAGGACACAGATAAGTAATTGCAGACTTGCAGACAAGATTAACAGAGCAGGAGAAGGGCTCTGCCTGAAACCTGGAAAACATTAGCAGGACAGGTCCTTTAACACTAACAGCAGCTTGTAGGAACACACCTGGAGAATGAGAATGTTTAAAATGTATGTATACAAGTATATGTACTGTACACACACACACACACACACACACACACACACACACACATACCCCTGTGGGCATGCACATGTGTGTCTGCCTAGACATATGGAAAATAGTGGCAATTCTTGCAAGTGGGATGAAGGTGTTACTAATGGTTACTGGGGCAGGAACTGCTGGTTCATGTTACAAACTCTACAATGGCTTCAGAAATGTGCCGCATCAAAAGAAGTCAGCAGACCCAGGAGTGTGAGGCTTTGGGCACCCGAGGAATGAGACATGTCACCCAAACTTGAGACAGACAAGGTGGACATGGTCCCCAGGAAACTGCACTGCCACCAGCACCCCAGCCTCTAAGAACCACAACCCCATAAAGAGCTCAAGCTATGAGTCTAGAACTTGGTCTTTGTGCTTGTGGTCATTCTGTGGCACCTTGAGTGCCACCACATGGGACACTGGGCAGGGAAAGCACTTTATTTTAGTGAAAGTATGCTGGCAGGACAGCTAGCACCAGTGTCTAGGTGGCTATACTGAGAGGCGAGGAAGAAAATCTTTTATCAGAACACTAAAATGAGCCCAGGCTGGTGTGGCTGAGTGGACTGAGCACCGGTCTGCGAATCGAAGGGTCGCTGGTTCTATTCCCAGTGAGGGCACATGCCTGGGTTGCAGGCCAGGTCCCCCACGGGGGGCACATGAGAGGCAACCACACATTGATGTTTCTTTCCCTCTCTCCCTCCTTCCTCATCTCTCAAATAAATACATACATACATAAATAAACTAAAATGACCAGGAAAATAATTAGCCCAAGTCTTTCAAAAACTAGCTGCAATTATAGACAAACTGTATGCACACTTCTCTTTTTACTCAAGCAGTAAACAGTAATAGTCATCGGGAGCTAAGATAGCTGAAGTTTGTAAAACTGTTCTGAGCCAAATCTGTACATTTTTGGAGAGAGAACAGTAAGTATTTTGCCTATACTCATAAGTTTGCCCCCCTGTGCAAGGTTGCTTTGGTGTATTGGAACTAAAGTTGTTCTCAGCTTTAACACACTGGCTGCAGTACTGGAAATTCCCCCGTGGTTCACAATTAATCACACATCTCAGCAGGCCAGCCCAAGCCCAGCTCTCACTGCTGAACATTCACTTGGTGTGTGCACAGGCGATGTCCAGCCAAGGGGATGCCACACATCGCACCCTCCCACTCCCTGCTCTCCCCTCAAGGACCCAGGCATGCCTGAGGCAGTGATGGAAGGAAATCAGTCTGTGGCCGGACCCACTTTGTCTCCAGCATCCAGTTGGTTAGCTCCTCCACCCCCCACGCACAGAGTCTTAATCTTTTACTAAAGTCGAGTTGGGCCAATAATAGTAAAGAATAATGGAGCCAGTTTATTTATTAGAGCAGTGCTCCTCAAACTCTAGTGCGCACAGAGGTCCTGGGGATCTGCCTCAGCCATCTGAGTGGGGCTGTATAGGCCATGAGCTTGGCTGGTGGGAGATGGGTCCATGCAGAAGCTGGAAAGGCCATGATGGACTATGAATAGAGAGGGTGTTGACAAAAACAGGAGAGACAAGTAGGGCACTACCCATTAAAAGTTGCAGCAGATCCGAAAGTCAACCTGAGTAGTTTTATCATCTTTGGTGATAAATCCCAAGTTTAAGAGACAAGCAAGAAACTAGGGGTGCCTAGTGGATCCACAGTCACCCAAATGGCAAAGGAAGAACTGCTGTTCTCAGGGCCCTGGGCCTGGGTCTGTTTCTGAACATTCCTACCACATTCTCTCACTCCCCTCACCCCAGCCACATGCACCTTCTGTCTGTTTCTGGGGTACCTATGCTTATTTCCCCTCAGGGTCCTGAATTGGCCTGGGAAGTTCTCCCCCCATCCTTCTCATGGCTGCTTCTCCTTAGCAATAGGACCTCGGCTTAAATGTCACCTCCTCAGAGACACCCAACTACACTGCTATGAATTTGGGGATTGTATGATACAGTGGCACATAATGAAACTTGTTAAATGACTGCACAAGAAAAGCTGTAAGCCACCCACCAGGAGCATAATCATGCTCATGACTCCATGATGGGGGCTGGGGGTGGTGATAAAGGACACACAACTGAGGTTCATAGTGGGTGTGAGATAGCACTGTAAAGGGAACTCTAGGCTTTAGCAAAGGGAGTTCTACCTCTGGGGAAAGAAGACTCAATGCTCTGCAGTGACTGGCCACAGAGACCCCAAGCAAGGCCATTCCCCACAGGAGAAAACATTTTCAGGCCAGTTACTATTCCTGGACACTGGGTTCGTTCAAATCCCCCAACACACACACAATATCCAGAAGGGTGCACGGCACTTAGAATATGTGAAGAATTTAAATAATCAAAGAATACAAATGTCAGGTGTACCCCTCTGTAAAAGACTTGATTTTACTTTTGGCCCCACTCTTATAAGTGCCACAAGAGTAAGAGGCTGAGTGGGTTAATTTTATGATAATTATGCCAGCATCTATTTTATTCAGCTTGCGTTCATGCTTACTTTTCCTGGGATGAGAGAACATTTCCAAAGCTGAAACATGCTCCTTGGTGTTCAGACCACCCCTGCCCAGGACTGAACACACACTGACAGGACTGTGCCAACAGCCACCCTATGCCTTGCACATTCATTGTAGTTGTTCCGAAAGACCCAGTTCCTTCTATGGGAATCTGAAGACACCAAGTATTGCCAAGTGAACAGGAAAGCCAGGCTTCTTCCAAGCTGGGCAATCCTACTCCTGGAACACAGTCCAGGAGAAGTGTCTGGTGCCAGCATCTACAGCAGAGACACAAAGGCCCAAGGAGACCCTGTGGAGCACAGGTACAGGGTGATGCCTGCCATCAGGGGACACACATTACCTGTAGGTGATCCTCACTTCAGTTCCAGGCTCATCTCGCTCCCAGATCAAAGCAATGCTCTCCGGGGACTTCTGAACATGCTGATCCAAGCAGTTGACTGCACAAAAACAGGTTAACAAACATTAAACTTGGAGCTCTTGGAGTCAGAATCAGGGGAGGGTCTGGTGTGCTGTGACTTGTACTATTCCCCACTGAGGTGGATATTTCCATTTTCCTCATCAAAGATGTCATTTCTACTTCCTTGCAAGGAGACGGGTAATTGTCAAAGCCTGTGAAAATAGGACAATAACTACACAAATATGATCTCACAGGTACAGGGTGATCCCCTGTGAAAATGGTATAAAGCCGACATTTCACACCAGCAGTCCCAATCCCAGCCACACATTGGTGTTGTCTGGGCCACCCCCAGGGACCCTGACCCAAATGACCCTATAATTTTCAAGGCTCCTGGGTGGTTCTAATGTTCAGTGTGGGCCGGGTACCACAGCCTGAGGTGTTGGAAAGACCTCATATATATACACCTCTCTCTCTCTATATATAGATTGATTTTAGAGAGGAGGGGAGGGAGAGAGAAATATTGATGTGAGAGAGAAACATTGATCAGTTGCCTTCAGTACACTCCCTGGCTTTTTGAGGATCAAATGCACAACCTAGCTAGGTATGTGCCCTGAAGGGATTGAACCTGAAGACTTTTGGTGTACCAGGTGATGCTCCAATCAACTGAGCCACCGGACAGGGCTAGAGAGAATACCTAATGTAAATAGGATGCTCCTGATCCAATACAACTTTCATGCAAAGGGCTCTCACATGTGGTAGAGCTGCACAGTGTCCAGGTCAAGGAACCACATCCCTTCTTAGGTGTCCAGTCAGCACCCTAAAACCAGCCTCTGTTCCAAGGAGTGTTGCAATGATGAGGAAATGCAATGATGGTTTTCCGGAAGACTCTGCTCCCCTCCTCCTCCATTACCCAAGCTCAGGTCACATGACTGCCCGCAAAAAACAGAAGGTCAGTTCTGCCAGTTTACTGTAAACCTGAAGATTAGTAGGATTATGTTCATTTGCTGACATCCTGTTCAAGGTGAGCTTAGCTGTGGCTGTCAATGCCAGCCTCCAAAGCCAGGCTTTCATTGCTCACCTCTCCATCAGGGGAGAAAATGATCACCACAAATATCTGTTGGAGGCAGCAGCCATCTGTCCCCCTGGTCGTCAGGGTCACCCCAATGTCCAGGTATATAAATGTTTGTTTTCTTTTTCCTTTTCAGAGCAGTTACTTATCTTCTTCAAATCAGTCTTCTCCTATGTAAATGGGAGCTGAATTATCTACCATGTCTAACTCACAAGGCTATGACCAGAAACCAATGAAATACTGAATGTTAAAGTGCTATTATATGAACACAAGGTACTATTACCAACTGATAAATACCATGCTATGAGTTGGAGACTTTTTAAAAATTTATTTATTTATTTATTTATTTTTAGAGAGGGGAAGGGAGGAAGAAAGAGCGGGAGAGAAACACCAATGTGTGGTTGCGTCTCACGTGCGCCCTACCAGGGACCTGTATCACAACCCAGGCATGTGCCCTAGACTGGGAATTGAACCGGCAATCCTTTGGTTCGCAGGCTGGCACTCAGTCTGCTGAGCCACACCAGCCAGGGCTGAGTTAGACTTTCAAATGCAATAACCATTCTGACAAAATTTATGGGAGATACCAAAATATCATGTGATTCCTCTGATTCTTGAGAGGGTGAACTCACAAGAAAATATTTACATACTTTAGTTAATATGGGTCTGTGCGTGTGTGTGTGAGAATTATGTTTTCCCCTCCTGGGTTATTTTCTCTATTAATTATTCTTATAATAAAAATTTATTTTCAATTTTCTGATTCCTAACCGGTATATAAATTTTACATCAAAAATTTTAATAAAGATATATGTCATGAAAAAAGTTATTATTGACTCAGAAAGGTTCTTTGAATTATTAAACAAATAGATGAGAATAAATGCCAATAACACAGAAGAGAGGAAAAGAAAGAAGAGAAACTGAGAAGGTGGCGCTTGGTGGCAGAACCTGGATTTATATAATAAACCCAAAATCAATGTGTATATGTTTGAGTGTCTCAATATGTTCCAGAGTTGAGAAATCACGTTTTCACACCACAACTGGGGATTTCTGACTTCTGTTGAACAACCAGCAGATGAGGGCACACCTTACCCTGAGAGCTGAGGTGGTAGCCATGCCTCAGCAGAGCAGGTCCTGTTCCCACTCCACTGCCTGGCCCTGGAGGACCTGACTGATGCAACAGGAAGCAGTGACCCTAAGCAGGTCGTGACAAGCCTTGGAGTACTCAGGTCCTTGACGCTGAAGACAGATAATAAGAAAGGCTTGGAGGAGGGAAACAGAGTGAGTTAAAGCTGTGCACGGAGCAGGAGAGTGTTGCTTCCATGTGTACATGAGTGTTCACTGGACCCTGGCTGCACCAGGCATTACTGGGGAACCGATGCAAACCCTTGGCGCCGCCCTAGAGCAGCCCTGAGAAAACTCCGGATGATAGGTGTGCACACTCATATCCAAGAAGCCTGCTCCAACACACCTTCCACCTTGACTTGTACCTTCTGAGCCACCGTGGAAAAAGTCCGGCTCAGATGTAGCTTCAGAAACAGTCTACAAGTGGTCCACTGACCTGCTCAAGGCCTAGCCAGGAAGCAATAGGAAGGGGCTCAAAGCAAAGTAATGCCTTACCTGGGGATCATCTACCACATTGCCTGCTCCCATGGCAGCCAGGGTGTCAGCACATGACTGCCCAACCTGAAACCTAGATCCTCAGTGCCCCGGAGCCCAGCAGAGCATCCTGTGCATGGCTTATGCCAAAGAGGAGGGCAGAGGTGCGAAAAGTGGAGGGGAAAGACCTTCCCTAGGATGGACAGCATCCAGGATGTGGCTGGGTGGACAGCAAGACAGCCCTATGTTCATGTCTTCCTGGGGCTGACAAGTGGCAGAATTCAGGCAGGTCAGTACTGAGCCTTAGGTGCATTCCTTGCACATGGGAGGTGCTGGGTAAGTGGCCACCAAGGCCCCAAGTGATCTACCTCTCTCCATTGGCAGTGCTGATTTTGTTGAGCACCTTCCTGCCTTAGGACCTTTGCATAGTTTCTCCCTGCCTAGGGCGGGCACACTGTACCACTCTCCCTACCGCTCTCCTCACCTGGTGCCCATCCTCCTGCAGGTCCCAACCTACACATTCTCACTCTCTCAGTGAGCATTTTGCATCCCTTGGACCTTTAACTCACCCACCTCAGATGTTTGCACTTGCAATCCCTCCGTGCGCAGTGACCAGTTATCCTGTTCATGTTTGTATACATGTGGCCTAACACAGAGCAGACAGCAGAGAGCAGAGAAGCACTACAGTTCTGGATGATGGACAGGCCATTCAAATGCTCAAGCTAAAGGGCAAAATTGAAATCTAAATGGCACCAGGTTGGCCCCATGCCCAGGGGAGGGAAAAGACCTCTTTCTGTCTTAATGGCTTTGTTCCTCAAGAAGTTCTCTTGTTGGTCTAAATCAGCACTTCTAAATCTCCCAAAACTCCTAGAGGGCTTCTTAGCACACAGACTGTGAGCCCCACCATCACCAGAGGTCTGAGTGACCAGGTCTGGGTGGGCCTGCACATTTCACCTCTGACAGATCCCAGTAATGCCATTGCTGCTGGTCCAGGACCATGCTCCCACAGACAGGCATGCATGTATACATCTATACACATTCTTCTTTACATATGTATTCCAGATTCCCAGGGGCTTTCTTTTCCCCATGGGGACAGGAGTGATCAAAAACACTTATCAGATCTGTAAGGCATCTGGCCACACCCTCAGTGGATGGCAGCCTAAGTCTCGGGTCAAATCCAACCTCCAGAGTCCAGCCCTGTCCAAATACTCAGATAAGCAGACAACATTCTTGTTATCTAATCTAAATTTCATTTTTCTAATCTGAAGTTGAGATAACAGTTCCGAGCTGTGGGAGTGACAGTAGGAATTAGATGTCATTGAAGAATTTCCTGTCACAGGGTCAGATTGTGTGGCAGTGTTCCCAAAGGAAGCACAGTTCACAGATGCTTTGGCTGACATTTAGATGACATGGGCACTTAGAGAAAGTGTGGGGTCTGGGTTACAACGGCCCTAAAACATCATGTATATGTTGGCTTTTAACACATATGTATTAGTACTGCTATTGCCTCAACTGCAGGGAAAAAAAGAAGGGAGAGAACGAGGATTAAAGGAAGACATTCATATTTCTCCACATTTTAAAAGAAAGTCTCCACCCAGAGAGCTGGGCAGTGGGACAAAAAAATTCCATTCACAAGCAGTTCCAAGAAGAGTTGGGCAGGGCCCTAGAGCAACTTAAGGCTCAGTTCAAACCCCATCTCTTAATTCAAGCCCTTTCCAAATTTCCCAGAACACAGTAATCTCTCCTTCTCCATCAATCAGTGACCCAGTTAATCAGCCTGGTAGTGTTATTATGGGACACAATGCTGGCTCTGCTAAAATCTCTGCAGTCTGGGTCACAAGATCACTGCGAGCAGGGACCATGTCCCTAAGATTCACTTATCATAGGGGTGGGTTGGGGAGTAACATAATTCTTGCCTTAGCAAATATAAATATCTTGAGCAAGTTACCCTAGCGTGGATTTGCTCATTTACTAATTTGTGATTCATCTCTTCATTAGAATGCAGACTCTGGCATTAGGGCATTTTCTGCACTGTTCATCACTGTACATGAGCTGCAGCCTTTATTTCCATACCTGTACAATGGGACCACTGAACACTTCACACTGGTGTCATGATAATGAGAAGAGGCTCCATCATGTTCACCTGAAAGCAGTTTAACATATAGAGTCTAACACAGCTCTGCAAATAGCTAAGCTAATGCCTGCTGATTGTTCATATGTTTGGTGGTTTGTTGTTTTTTTAAAGACTATAAGGCCCTCGCTAGGTAACTCAGTTGGTTAGAGGGTTGTCCAATATACCAAGGTTGTGGGTTTGATCCCTGGTCAGGGTACACACAAGGATCAATCAATGAATGCATAAATAAGATGAACAACAAATCAATGTTTCTCTCTAAATAAATAAATAAATAAATAAACAAACAAACAAAATTTTATAAAGACTATGAGAGGTTATCATTTCCATCATAAAGATGGCATACTTATGTAGGAATTTTCAAGAAATCCTGTCAGCTGTTTAAATGTACAAATCCCCCTCTCCAACTTTAAGTAAACCCACATACAGAAATTCTATTTTAATCAAAAGAAACAAGGGAGTTTATATTCACAATAGAATTCACAATGGGTTTTCTTTAAATAAAAAAAAATCTCCCTGGCACAATTTAAGATATTTCATCAGTCACAAAAATTGTGTTTGCCAAATTTCTAGAAGTACCTGCTTTTAATTTTTTAATTAATTAATTTTTTATTTTATTTCATTTTTCCTCCATTACCTTTGCATCTGCTTTTTAAAGTGAGTCAGGCCTCTAACAACTATGGAAAATTCAGTCTCTTCTGGACGATTTTCTCCTACAACTTGTGGTTACATTTTCATTTACAGTTCCTTGAAAAATCTTAGATAAGTTACTTCAATTACTGAGAAAGATATGAAGCACAGGAATATAGTGTCTGCTGATTGAGTGTCAGTGTATATGCTTTCTAATGACTGGAGGCATGTCATAAACAACAGGAAGGTACAGCAAAATGGTCCCCATTGCTGCAACTAATGTTTCAAAAAGCATCCAGAAATCTGTGTTCAATGCTTCATTAAAACTATTACTCTACACCATTGCTTAAAAGTAAGAAAACACACACTTTAAAAAAAAATCAGACTCAGACTCTGGTGTTTAGAAAATATAGCATGGTTGTGGGTTTGAAATCAACACATTGTTACCTTCTGGTTCTGCATTTGCCACTTCCTGACATTTTTAGTTTATATACCACAGAGCAAAACATCTGCTGAGCTATACAGAGGACAAAGCCAAATTTCAAAAATTGAAAAGAATCTTTTTTTAGATCTTGGCTTTCCAAAGAACCTTCTGTAAAGCATTTTTATGTAAAGGTAATTAGAAGCAAGACACTGAATGGGGTGGTGACTCTATCTTTATGTCCAGGAGGTCCTCTGGCACCATGACTCACCTGGCTACTAACCCAGAGCTCCAGGGTGGGCTTCGAGCCCTGTTGGCCACCTCCATACCCTCCTGACCTGTTTCCTGCCTATCCCAGATCGATCAGATGCAAGCTCACGTGGTCCTGTTCAGAGGAAATACAGCATTCTCAGCAGCACTACTGAAGACCAGGCTCAATGTCATGGTCCCCCCTCCCCCCCACACACCCAACTCCCCACCCCTACAGCATTCATTAATAAATAATGAAGACCAGTGATTGGGTATGAGTAACACACTAAAGACTGTGCAAAGAACCATGTCCAGGTAGCTCAGTTAGTTAGAGCACTGTCCTGTCCCCAGTAGGTCAAGGATGTGTGTTCAATCCCCAGCCCTGCCAGGGCACATACAAGAATCAACCAATGAATACATAAACAAGTGGAACCACAAGATCGATGTTTCTGTGTCTCTCTTTCTCCCTTCCTCTCTCTCTCTAAAATCAATAACTAAAAAATTTATATAAAAAAAGCACTATGCAGTGAACTTTATAAGTGTTTTCTCATTTAGTGCTAACAGCCCTAGGATTTCTCAGGCCAACCAGGGCTGGTCAGAAGAAACCTAACAACTTCTGCTGTAGAGTCTGTGACCTCTGGTTCCCTGGGCCATTGCCAAGCTGGGCCTGTAGAGTGGTTCCCTGGGCCATTGCCAAGCTGTGAGAAACCCTGTGTAGGTGCTTTGGGTCATAGTTCCAGCTGAACCCAGCCTGAATCATCCTGGTCAAGGTCTCAGACTTGTGACAACAGCCCCAGACATAGTCCAGTGGAGAACAGAAACAAGTCATGCCCATGGGGCCCTGTCCAAAGTCCTGACCCACAGAACTGTGAGAGTAAAACAATTCTTGGGGGCGGTTTGACATGCAACAATAGCAACTAGAACAGAATTTAGATGGCCCTACTTGTACAGACAAGGAAACACATGCAAAGAACAGTAAAGGAAAAGCAAAGATTCAGACCCAGGTGAAATTCACAACACATGAAGAACCACTAAGCTGTACTACACCACCCATCTGCCATTTCTGTTTGTTTACTAGAGTCATTCCCAAGACACTAATCCCAATTCTTCCCATTTAGAAGTGTCTTTGTCTGGCCTAGGTTGGGGCATATAGGTCAGTGGTTCTCAACCTTGTATATGCCTCAGGAGCACCTGGAGAGCTTGTAAACACAGGTTGCAGAGCCCTACCCTCAAGGTTTCTGGTTCTGGTGGGTCTAGGATGGGGTCTGAGAACTTGTATTTCTAATAAAGTTCCCAGGTGATGGTGATGCTACTGGTCTGGGGACCAGAGTTTAAGAACTACTGGTACAGATTTTCCTGAAGGGATAATGGGAGTTTCAAAAGTAATGCTCCTTTGAAATAAGCCATCATCATACTATCACGCCCACCATTCCACAACATTCTAGGGGGTTCCAAGGGCAGCTATGGCCAGGCTTGGCCCTTTGTCATATCATCTTCTCTGTGGTTTACAGACACTGGCAAAGGGCAGAAATATTCCTGAGATAAGAGGGTGGACATACACATTTAGGGCGAGAATGCTGCTGGAAAACTTTTTCCACAAGGCAGTTTCTGAAGCTCAGTTTCTGGAGAAATAAATTTTTTTAAAAGAGGCACTTCTGCTAGCCAGCCCATGCTGATCCTGACCAAGTGAGTGAGGCTCAAGAAGCATTTCTTGCCTTCCCCATGAGGTCCACCCCCAGTGACTTATCTGGGAGTGAGGGGCTGCAAGTGTGCATGAGACACCAACCCTGACCATTCACAGCAGTCTCAGGCCTCTCCAGTCCCAGTCAGCTTACACAGCATCTGTACTTTTTCTTCTCTCTCCTTCAACCAGTTGCTTTCCTCCCTTCAAGGGCACGTGCCACCAACTCTACAAACCTAAGGGTTTGTTTTGTTTTGTTTTCCCACCAATTCAAGGATACTTGCTGCTGACTCAGTTTCAGAGAAAACACTTATCTAGTAGTGATTCATTTTGAGTAAACCATCAAAGTAATATGCAATATGAAAAAAGTCTGGTCCAAAGTCCTTTCCTAAGTTTCTTTGAAAAATATTTGCAAGGCACTACCTTGTCTTCCTACTTCTAAATTGTATTGCTACTTCTAAATATAAATGAAAACTGTTGCAACTTACTGATCATCAATAAATGCTGGGTCCGTTCCACATCTCCAGCACTCTGTCCTTACAATCAACCTAGCAGGTGGGTTTACTGTTCCCAGTTTACAAATGAGGAGAGTTACAGGCCAAGTAAATGGTGGAGTTGTGCAACATGCCAGATCCTCCCTTCATGTTTAGGACTTGGCCAGAGCCTGACCCTGCTATTAAGATCTGCAAGTTCTTCCCTTAAACATCCCCTAAACCCCTCCTACCTGAGTACCCCTGCCTCCCTGACCATTGCAGCCCTCTGCACAACCCACCTGGCTGTGAGTCCCCTCCTCCCCAGGCTGCCCACACTCCACCAACTCTGCTAGGCTGGTTACTGCCTCCAGTTCCTGGGCCTCCTTGCCTTGCTGCCTCGGGGCTCAGTGAACTCATTTCATCACACAAATCCCAAATCCTAACAAAAAAGCAGTAGATTCAATCTCAGCAGATACCAAAGAGCTGGTTTCTGGGACCCCGATTAGAACCACGTCTAAAACAAGTCTTGGGTCATTTTGGGGTGTGTGTATGGGGGAGTCCCTCCATTCCTTTCTTCCCTCCTTCAGGCGCTGCCTGGGAGCAAGGAGATAAGTGATTCCAGCTGCTGGCCTTGAGTTTTCTCCTCTCTGGCCACACTCCACAGCTTGGTTTGTTTACATTTCTCCCCAGGCCAGTCGCCTGGCAGGCAGCTGGTAGCAACAGCCTGATGCTCTTCAGTTTTGCCTCCAGCCCCTGGGACAGGAGTGGGTAAGTCCCAACTCCTGGGCGCCCGGCACCCTTCACCCCTGCCTGGCCTAAGTGTATCCCGCTTGTCCCTGGTGGCTTACGCTCCGCCGGGCGGTGGAACCCCGTGGTTAAACTTGAGTGTCCGCCATTGGAGGAAGCAGCCGGGGCAAGGCCAGCAGCTGGGCGACCCGAGCTGACACCGGACCGGGTCTCCGCGGGCGCCGGCTGGAACGGGGAAAGTGCGATCGGGACGCGGGGCTGCAGCGGACAGGGAAGCTGGAGCCTCTGGGGTCCAGAGGTGAAGGCCCACGGACCAGCGATCTGCCCGGGACAGCTGCGCCGGCTGGGTCCTGTGAGTCGCCTCTGGAAGCTTGACTTGGGGAAGCCCAGGGTCCCCACAGCCCACTCACCAGACACATTTAGTTGGCCTCCCAGGAACCAGCCGATCTTGCCGCTGCTGAAGTCACAGTCCCAGACGGTGTGGTAGGGGGTGTCCCACATTAGCGAGTCCTGCGCCAGCGGCCCCCAGAAGGCGGCGGGCTGTCGGGCCGCCAGCTCTCTCAGCGTGAGGAAGGAGGCAGGGAGGGCCGAATGTGAGGCGCCGGGTGTGCTGCCTAAGGACCCGGAGGTGGCCCTGCGCGGCGCGCTCACTACACGCGTTGGCCACCCCCGCGAGCCCGCAGGCCCGTGAAGTGCGCCCAGGAGCCGCCTGACGCCGCAGCCCAGACTGCGCGCCGCCATCTCCCCCACACCCCAACGTCTCTGTGACCTCAGCCGGATCGCAAGGCGGGTAGGAAAGGGCAGGGATAGGGGCAGCCTGCGCTCCAGGAGGGCCCCGCCCTGTCTCCGCCCTCCCGCCACCATCCATCCCTCACGCCCTTTCCTGGCCTGAAGCTGTCTTCCGGACCCCGCCTGTCCTCACATCCTCTCACCGCCCTAGAAAAGAGGACCTCGAAGAAGGGGGAGAAGCCGCCTGGGGAGGGGCGCTTGGGGGCCGTGTGGAGCGGGGTCCCGGCCCTGGCGGGGCTTTGGGTCGTTCCCCTCATCTGCGCTATAGCCCTGAGGGGCGTTGGGGCCGTTTTGGTTTCAGTTTTTGTTTCTTCAAATTCCTTCAGCGGCGTCTTGCAGCCAACAGTTAGAGACACGTGCATCCGGGACGCAGACTGGCTCAGCGCCCTCGGTATTCCGGATCCGAGGGAAGGAGCCCTCACAGAACAGAAGCGATTGGTGAAGGGAAGTGCACAGGTGGGTGCGAGGACCAAAGTTAGGTCGGTATGCATTTGAAGCTGAAGTTAAAGTATTAATCCCATTGTGTGCCCTTGAGGAGAATACCTCATCCACCAGGCCTGTCTTTCCCCCTAAAGCACATATACAGGTAGCCGCCCACCCCGCCCCCACCGTGGGCTAATTGGGCCCACTGGCGAGGAGGCTGTGGCAACTTAGGATCCAATGCGTTTATTGCCCAACTGTAACCTCAGCCCAGAGGGAGTCTCCTCCTGAGGGGAGGAAAGGGGGAAAAGTGTAGCAGAGAAGCAAATGCTCCACTAAAGTACGCTTGTTTGAGACTGAGTAACTTTGGGAGTTTTCTCCAATTGCTCTAGCTTCTGCGGACTGGGATCAAACCCTGGATATTCTAGCTTCATGACCTTGGGCCAGTGCCTACATTTCTCTTTACCTCATTTTACTTTAAGAGAAAAATGGGAGTAATATCTCCCTCCCCTGCTGTAGTAAAGAATAAATGAGATTGTGTCTGAAGCATCAGGTCAATAGGAATCCCCAATTTGAGGTTCATTGGAGGAGACTATATAATGCAAACAGCTGAATTGTGATACAGCACAGCTATGGAACAGCAGCACCTCTCCAGCTAGACAGCTTTGCTCACTCTCCAGAGAGACACACATTTGGTGAGTTTCAGCTCCACAAAAGGGAAGTCTTGAGGTGGAAAGCAAAAGTGCACTCCCAGAGCAGAGGAGAGTTGACTTACATAGACAGAAGTCCCACCTCAGGGCCCTGATTGGTCTATCCTCATACAAATGAGGATGCCAAATCCCCCCAGTTTGGTTGGCCCAAAAGGCACTGTCCTAATTGATCAGAATGGTGCTTCTCTGATTGGTCAGTGAAATGCTGCGGGGGATATAGCCTGCAGCTTCCAATTGGATAGGGAGCTCCAGTTGGAAAGGGAAAGTCTCAGTCCTATTGGTTGAAATAGGATTCCAGGGCTGCCTCAGAAGGCAGGAACACAGTGCAGGCAGGCAGCTCATTGCAGGCTTCTCCCTGAGGTGCCATTTGCATGAAAGGCCCCTGTGCAGAAATAACTCTGTGTTTGTCTGAGCCCAGTTAGCCACCCGGAGCCTTTCTTAGTAGCCATCTTCTTTCTCAGGGTCCACATCTGGAGTCAGCACAGAAGGATCTTAACAGTGGAGTCAGTGTTTTGTTGTCAAGCAGAAAAGGATAGAAAGGAACTCATAGAAACTTGCCTCAACTAGGTTCTTAAATATTTCAACACCCAAGAATAAATACATAATCAAGAAGATAAGCACATGGGAAAGGAGGTTTTTGAAAATCGGTTTGTTGAGTTCTTTGGGTTTGGGAAAGATTCAGACTTCTTAGCTGTGAGGCCTGCATAGGGAAAGTCCCAGCCACTTCAAGGAGCTTCTGCTGTTAGTTAGCCCTAGGCCATTGTGAATATTTGCTTCCTGCCAGAGAAGAAAGGACTTTAAGGCTGGAGAACCAGTGATAATAGCTAGCTCTAGACCGGTGCCCAGCACTTGACCTGCACTTTTAACTGAATTTAAAAACTATTTAGTGCTATCAGCTCTTGCCCATTATCAACTGCCAGTGGGACAAATGAAGAGACTGATACCAAATCAATCAGTAGACTTACTAAAGAGCACATGCCTGATGGAGTAGCAGCACAAACAGCCAGCACTTCCTACTCCTCCCATTCAATATCAAATCTCCACTTGATAGTTCTCATTTTAAATGAAATATACAAAATTGTAAATATTTTACAATCCTGCCACAGTTATGGCCACCAATATTGCATCCCATTTTATAAGGGTTTGAGAGGTGCACTCCATCAAGAGGAAGAGCCTGTTCCTCCCTTGAACCTGGCCTGTTGGATTTTTCGGACAGAATGTGGTGACAGTGCTCCTCTGACAGCCCCAGGTTTGGACCTTGCAAGGCCACAGCTGCAGCCCCTGCTGTCTTGGAACTCAGCTGTGAAGCTGTAAGGGAGTGGGGTCTGGCTTTCCAGAGGAAGAGACCCTATGAAGAGAACAATAAAAAATATCTATAGAATGAGTGTTCTTTAAAATAAAGAAGTACATAGTTCCCATTTCCTTCTGGTTGAATGAAGAAGTGATTGTATATGCACAAAACATTTCAAAATCCATCACGTGGTACAGAATTGCACTTCCTACAGTCCAAGTTACCAGACTTTCCTCCTGAATGTCACAGCCTTCTGAGACCGAGGTCATCCCTGCTATGTCCTGGAAGCATATCTCCCTGAACTAGAACAAGGTAGAGCCAACCAGCCCCTGCCCTAGCCAGCTGTGTCCTGTGGGGCCTGGGTAATTCTGAGAGAGCAGCAGGTTATCCATGCCACACTGATTATATTTTCTCTCCCAGAATGCCCCCTTGACCTTAACATGAGAAGAGCCCTCCAGTACTGAAAGCTGTAGTTGGCAGGTGCAGAAGTTAGGAAGGACTGGAGATGTTTCCTTCGGGACACTTATATCTCAGACCTGCTGTTTAAGTTCAGGATGGTACAACCATAATTGCTGACAGCCATTATTGCTGACACTCATAATCCTTAGAGACAGATGCTTTGATCATCACTTTATATATGAGAACACAAACACAGAGAGGATAGATGTTCACTCAAGACCACACCACTACCAAGTGTTAGAGCTTTAGCTTTCTGCCTCCAGAGATTATAGTCTTAATAGCTTTAGGGGTACAGCCTACCAATACCCTTTTTGCTGTTTGTCTTCAAGGTTCTACAACTGACATTACTCAGGGAGCTCTGGTATTTCAATGCCCCTAAGAAAGAGTTTTTGTTGACAATAGATCCCCTGGGAGAACCACCTGCCCCTGTTAAGCAAGACCTAGTGTGGAAAGGTAGTAAAAAGCTAGGAAAATTCCTGGGCAAGTGGAATAGCAAAACTGAGGCAAGAAAATTAAATAAGGCCAAACAATTTGAACAACTTACAGCCAGCTAGTGAATCACAACACCTTATCTTTCCTAACCAAGGACACTTGGAAGCAAATGGTTTATTCCTTTCCTCTGTCACTGGAGAACACATAGCTTAAATCACCCTAGTCTGAGTAATAAAAAACAGACCCAATTAATGGCATTTGTGCCAGCTAAACCCAAAGATGGATAAGGTCAGGGAAAAAATAACAAAAACTCAATTAGGGCCAGAACAGACTCAAGATAAAAATAAAACAATAAAGCAGACCAAACAATAATCCCAAACTCCCCTATACATTCATTTTGATGGATCAGAATACTAAAAAACATACCTTGAAAGCTAATGAATATTCTGCTGAAACCCTCCTCTAAGATTCTCACCTGGAGGAGAGATAAAAACCCTCATGACAAAGACCCGTCATGGGCATGCTCCAGACATGAGCTTTTTACTTCCTCATAAACTCAAAAGGTCACCACGAGACCCCTGGCAACCAAGGGAGCAGTGGGCAGTGGCAGCTTGTCCTGCATTTATCCCTAATCCTGTCTCCAAGGCCCCCTTTTTATCTGACTTCCCAGTGAGCTAACAGCAGCCCCACCTTGGCTCACTTCTTTCCTATAATGTGTCTAGGAAGCCAAAGCAGAGCACTGCCTAGGCTGTCTCCTTTGCTTCTTCTACCCTAAGCTTTTCCTTTGTTTCACTCTCCACAGCTTTAATAAATGTACTCTCAAAATCACCAAGACTCATGTTGTGAAATCTTCCCCACATTAAGTCAACAACCCACACACTACAGTCCCACCTGAGGCAGACCTGCTCTGGGTAGGGCCCCATCCAGTAATACCAGCATGGAGTCACCAAATCCATTCACTGTAGTGAGGTGCCTTCAAAGAACCTATAAAGCTTTGTGCTTCCTCTTCCCTACATTATTCCTTTACTTTTCATTTCCCCGTTTCTTCTTTTCAATGACACAAAAGGATATCCGTGGAGCACCTTCTGTGAGCACAGCCCACAGGGAGGGGGGCTGTCAGCTCAACAAGGATGAACCCAACACAGTCCCTGAAATCGAGGTTATAATTGGGGGAGGAGTATGGGTAGGAATAGACAGACAGACACCAGCTCAAATAGCTGAAATGCAAAGCAAAATAAAAACAAAAAAACCCATAATCAGAACCTTGAAGAGGTTTGGGGGAGGGGAACCAGTTGTTTGGGGGCCTGGGAGTAGCTTCATGAGAGTGAAGGGTCCACCTCTTCCAGTTCCCTTTTCCTGCTGTTTCCATGAAGTCAGTGGTAGCAATGATATGTAGGGGAGGCTATGTAATCTGCCTCAGCAGTGGGGGCTCCATGACTCCCATACAGCTTCAGCAAAACCTTCGTGTCTTGTAAAACCACACCGGATTCCAACAACACACAGCAATCCCAGGATGAGCAAGTTCACCAAAGAGCAGAAGACAGGAGGTGAAAGCCAGGACCGACTCAAGGTGGCACTAGGCTGGCAGCTGGGTGCCCTCCTGGAGCTGGGGGACCCCCATCTGAGGCAATGCTGCATGTGGAGCAGCCAGACCTCATGGTGGGGTTTCTTCTCTGTCAGCTTTAGCAACATGCTAACTAAATTTTCTCATACCGAATCCTATAAACACTTAACTTGCTTTAGCCCTCCATGAGTGTGAAAGGTTAGGTACGGTGTCATTCATCCAGAAACTCACAGAAAAGACTTATGCTTTTGGATTTGTCTGTGGCCTCTATGAGACACCCTCAGCCCACAGTGGTTGAGAGAATCATTAGAGAAGACAACAGCATCTCCTGTGACGGCTAATCATTGACATCTGGAAGAACCAGTCCCCTAACTGCCAGGTACACGGGGCAAAGGGGAGCCAGGACTCCAATACCATGCCCCTCTCCTTAGTCTCCTGAGTGGACACCCTTACTGGGATAACAGCACCTCCAGCTCCTGTTTTCACTCAAGGCCAGGCCGCCATTGTTAATGGTGATCACACAGACATATACAAGTCACTCCAAGGCCAAGCTGTAAGTGGCTGCCCTTACACATGGGTAAAACCCTGTCTTTATAACCTGAGGAAGATGAGTGGACAGAGTGCTGCCCAGGGTGCCAGGAGACCTGGACTAGATTCTGGGTTCTGACCCAGCCTGCCACAGGGCCAGTCCCAAAATATTTTCAATCCTCAGTTTTCTCATTTGCATAATGAAAAAAATGTTATCCAAATTTTGAACCCTTTAGCTCTAAAATTCCAGGTGGTGCATTCATCCCAATAAGGATATGTTAGACTTGATATCCAAGTTTCTTCTGTTTCCCTATGTTTCAGCTAATGCCAGTGTGGGGGCTCCATGAATGTGTATAAGGGGTGTCTTGCTTCAGCTTTGGAGAGCTCAAGCCCAAACCTCTTCCCCATGCCTTGCCTTTCTTTGTTTCCAGTTCAGTAGACTGCCCTACCCCATCTCAATGGGTACAATCCCTGGACCAGCCATTGTTTCTCTCATGACTCTAGTGAGGCTGTCAGGAATACCCTCTGTGGTTTTCTTTTAAACCTGACCAAGTAGAACTGACTTCATCCTTGCATTCAATTCACTTAATGGTTTGGTGGATTTTTTGTCCAGTAGCTCCCAAGAATGGCATCCAAGTCTGGTTTAGAAGGTTTGTATTTTGGCTTGCATAAAATTAAAAAAAAAAAAAGGTGGTGGACAGCTAGAAAAGGGCCTCTCAGCTATCTTCTGGAGTTGTCTTTAATTTGAGTTTGAATGAGGAGTCATAATGGAGAGGTGAGAGGAGGAGGATGCTTATAAACAGAGGGCAAATGGGATGGGATGGCCAAGTTCAACACTCCTCAGGGAAGCAAACTTGTGAGCCAAGATATTCAAGTCATCTTAAACAGCATGTGGATTTGCCACACATGCCAGAAAGGCTCAATGGCCACTTGTCCTCATAGTCCATCCTATGGGTTCATCATCTGGCAGAAGACTGTACAGCCCACTCTTTCTGAACCCAAGGTCCCAGTGCCTGCTCTGACCCCTTCAATGTCTCAGTGCAGCAGACATCCTTGCTCAGATACTTGCTTTGCAGTGATCACCCTGGTTGCTTGGTTCCTTCCTAAGAGCCTATGAGGGGAGGGAGGGGAACTAGGGAGCAGTCTTTGGGCAGATCTGAGCTGTGGGGCCCCTTTTTCCTGCCCTCACCATTACTATCACTGTCTATGGCCTCGGGAACTGTGGGCTTCCTCAGTCTCTCAGCTTGTCAGCCAGAAAGAGAGAGTTTATGATATGGGCATGACTTTGAGACAAATACCATAGCAGGGAAGGGTTTTGCATAGAGGGACATTGCTTTCTTTGAAGCCAGACCCTGTGGGTCCAAAGGAGAGATTAAACAGACACCCGAGATACACCATGTAGGGATCCAAGAGGATGTATGTGGATTGAGAGCTTAATCAATATTTATTGACTGACCAAATGTAAAGATGTGATAGAAAACAAAATACTGTGCAGCCCCCATTGTCCACTCTGAATTAAGAATCCTGAAATACCAGGTCAGAAGAACCTATGCATCCCAATGTTCATAGAAGCACAATTTACAAAAGCCAAGTGCTGGAAGCAACTGAAGTGCCCACCAGTAAATGAGTGTATCAAAAACCAGTGTGCATTTACACAATGGAATACTACAAATCACAAAGAAAGAAAGGACTCCTACCCTTTGCAACAGCATGGATAGAACTGGAAAGCATTATGCTAAATGAAATAAGCCAAGCGGTGAAAGACAAATACTATATGATCTCACCTATTAGTGGAACCTAGTCAACAAAACAAACAAGCAAGCAATTTATAACCAGAGACATGGAAATAAAGAACAAACTGACAGTAACTGGAGGAGACAGGTAGGGGAATAATGGGGGAAATATGGGGAAAGGTTGTTAGGGAACATGTGTAAAGGACCAATGGACAAAACCAAAGTGCGGTAGGCTTGGGAGAGCGTTGGGGGGAATGTGGAAACAACTGTACTTTAAAAACAGTAAAAAATGTTTTAAAAAATGAAAAAAGAAAACAAAATAAATGTAATATTATTAATCAAATTTCTTACATCACCCAATTTGAAAAAT